ACAGCGATTTTATGCCATGCTTCTGATGCATGGAGTTATATTCTGATGTATTAATTTTTGAGTTACTGTTTTGTTTTTCATAATTTTTGAAAATCTTGTTTCTTACTATATTTACCTACAGGCTACAGTGTTTGAACAAATTCCATCAAATGAAAGGAAAAAGCTTAAATTTGAGCAAATCAACAATATTTTAACATCTACTCTAATCTGGGAAATTCACTCATGGTATTAGGAGCCTGTGTTCCCTACTATAACATACTCATTTTTGCAGTAACTTTAAAATTTGCCTTGATTTTTTCAGCTTAATTTTTATATGTTTAAGTAATTCATATGTGACGCTATCACTTAAACTGTCTGTGTCGATGACTTGTTAAATTCTGAGTGGTCTGCATGGCTGCTGATGAATATTTAATCTCATGCTGTCTTAGCTTCCTTAGAAGGAGGTAAACTGCATGTTCTATGTGTTGGTGTCTAGGAAGGTTGTAACATAAATGAAGTCGCTTGGAAACTGTTTCTTGATTATTTAAATTGTGTCTTTATAGTACTGACTACTGACCAAATAGATACCATGTGAATATATATATATAGATGCACACACACATATACATAACCTGCTTTTTTGTTTAGCATTTTTTATGTGCTTGAGCGCTGAACAGCTGCAGCAGAACATAACAGTTTTTAGCTCTCAGCTGTGCAAGTGTCTTTGTCGTCCGTACCTGGTGCTGTTTTCTAGGTGCGAGATCTAGACACAAGATTACGGATGTTGTGTGAGTCATATTGCTCTTCTGCTGTTCTGGCTCTGCAGTTTGTTCCTGCTAGGTGCATTGCGATGTACTTGTTCCATTTCATAATAAAGTGCTGCTTACCAAATAGATTTTTTTTTTCAGTGTGTATGTGGGTAAAAAATGTATTTAATGCACCTGAATCCACAGTGCCGAGCCTAGTTTTGTGAGGTCTTCCAATTCATTCTAAAGAGCTCCCTATACTGTATGACAGAAAGGTTTAGAACAGAGAATTTTGTAAATAAATGAGGAAAGATGGCCTTTAAACAACAAAAATAGTCCTTCCCCAAAACCCTCAGAAATTATTTACTTTGCATGTTTGCTAGCCTACCCCTTTTGATTATCATTCAATAACAGCTTTATAAACAGTGCTACTGTTTTTTTAGTATGATTTTAAGGCACTGGAGGAGAAGTTCTGTTTTGCCAGGTGGGGTTTAAATCTGGGAGCATATCCTTGAAGCAGGGGCAGACAAAACACGCTAAGCTTTGGGGGATATCATTCACATCAGGGTTTAGGGCAGACTGGCAGGTTTTCATGCTCAAAAAAACCCTGTGTATTTCCAAATACTGAAATTAAGAAAATGAAGCCTTAGTCCAGTATGGTTATTACTGATAGTATTTTTGTCAGTGAGATTTCAAGGACGTAATAGTAGGACTTTCGGGTCAGGATACTTCTTCTCTTGAAGTGGTGGTCCTCTCATACAGGAGTGGGAAAGCCCTTTGCACAGGCTTTTGCAGTTTAAAGATAAGCATCTGAAATGCTTGTTTGGATTTAAAATTGAGAAATTTCTAACTTAAAATTGCCACTCTACATAATTCAAAACAGATGTTGTGTTACAAAAAGCTGTTTCTGCTAAAGCAACATTTAGTGTCTAAAAAAGACCTTTAGAAAAACCCTGAAGAAAACTCCCTGAGAAAACTGCTCTCAAATCAAAAAAGTGGGAGCCAGAGCAGTGTGGCCACCTGAGAGCAGTAACTGCAACCCTGCCCAGGCTTCTGCAGGCGTCTGAGCTTTTCAGAATTTTCTTCAGAGCACCATCAGAAGTTTCTCAGCATTTGCCACATTCCTCCCAAAATGCAGCAGATATTCCTTTTTTTTTTTTTTCTCCTTCCTTATTGGAATAAAAAAATGGGACGCTAGGAGAAGCAGACTTTTTCACATTTATGCAAAACACCAGATGTGTGTACATAAGTGGAAAGGTATGTGGGTGGGATCATGGGCTTACATGTGTGACTCGCAGGCAAAAGCATAAAAACGTGGGCCTGAATAACTTCTGCAAAGTCATGCCCACCGCCTGCTTCAGAGCTAGGTATGAATCTGGTGCTGAGCGAGGGCTCTTGGCTCTTCTTTTGCCTCAGCTTTGGTGCTGTCCTCCCTTTTTGTATTCATCAGATTGCTGACACCACCTGGGCAGATGCAGCGAGAAGCGCAAGAGCGCGCGTTGCAGCGGGACGCTCTGGTGCTCGGGGTTGCCCTCGCGCAGGGCAGAGCCGGCTCCTCGCCACGGCCAGCGTGAGCTGGGGCACAAACACGTGCGTTTCCTGACAGCGAGGTGTACCTTTGTCCCAGTGTGTGCTTTGAAGGTCATCCTTTGTAAAAGGGTCAAAGCTAGGATTTTGGGTTTTGTGGGGTTTTTTATTCAAAGTTCTAAGACAAATATAAAAGATATATTTATTTTTATTTTATTTTTAGTATCATATAAGTGTATTTGAACAGACAAAGGAGAAGTCAGACGTTTAGACAGCACACTTTTTTTTTTCTTAAGTTTCTAATAGGAATCTGCTCAACAATTAATCTTGTTACCTTTGCATATCTTTGTGCTGCTGTGTCCAGTGTAATAGCTATGTACTGAGCAAGAACATTCCTCCCCTCCCAGCCTTTCCATCAGTTTTAAAGTGTCTCTTTCTCTTTTCAAGGCTGAATATGAGAAGGATGAGGAATAGTGAGATTTGTTTTGTTTTTGCTTTTGTCTTCATTTGCCCAATATCTCTGTTTTTAAACAGTGCTGGAGAGGCCTGTTTATTCAGCAGAGGTTCCTGCCTACTGCTGCTGCCAAGTCTCCGGGCTGCAGACAGGCCTCGAGCGTTGAAGGGCAAACTGAGTTCTCTTTACATCGTCTTTCTATTCTCTGTGGACTGTAATAGTAATGAAAGGCTGACATAAGTAGCAGATGATGTATAAATATCTGCTCTAGACAGCCTGTCAGAGAAAAGATGCAAACACTTATTTGCAACAGGCAGTGTGAAAGTTCTGCAAGTGAAGGTCATCAACCAAAACTGGTTTGGGAAGATATGTTGCCTAGAAAAGACTGGAGCAGGAAGAGGGGAAAGCTATTCAAGCACATTTGAAACTCTCTTAAGGTTGCTAGATCTGTGGTAAGAGCGCAGTTTAGGTGGGGATCACATTAGTAAAGCTTGGCCAAGCTGCTTTTCCCCCGCTGCGGCGGCGGCGCCGGTTACCTCAGCGCGCCATGGCGGCCGCAGTGCTCGCCCAGGAGCCCTGGCCGGCAGCAGAGCCCTCGGCACCGGCGTTAGGGATGCGTTGGCAGCGCTCTTTTTTTTTTGCCCTCTGTGAGGTGTTAGAGGGAAAAAGGTAAAGTTACACACAGGGCAAAGCAAGCAAAGCAATGCATTTTTTAAATGAATCCTAACAAAAGTGAAATCGCTTTCTGTAGTATTTCTGTTTCGATTTTGGCAGAAGCGGGGAAGTTCTAGAAAAGTTAGGTCTTCCTGGGGTGGATGGGCTTTTTTATCCCCCGCTGCTTCATTTTAAAAGCCCTGGGCCTGTCCTTTATTGAGACTATATATACTCTGTCCTCTTGCTGCACAGGCCCTCAAATAGATTTAAATTTGCTTCTTTGAAATTGGAAGTATAGAAGCAGTTATTAGCAGAGCCAGCTAGGTGATTAGGTAGCGTCTTGGATCTGCAACAGAAAACCCTCTGCCTGGCTTGCTTCTGCAACTCCATCTTTGGCTTTTGCAGAGTTTGAGCAAATATTTCAAATGCTCCTTTTTCCCCTATGTGATTGTTGGTCCTGTGACGCTGTTACCGGTTGGGTGACTACTTGGACCTGAAAATTCCCCATGTTTACGACTCCTTCTCCTTACGCCTTCTCCTGTTTTTCTTGTAGCAAAAGAAGCCAAGATCTCTGAACCCTAATGCCTGTATTGAGCTCCGTTGCTGGCGGGCGTGCGCTTTTGTCAGGAGCTCAACCTTCCAAAGAGCATCAGTGTTAGCTGACTCACTGCCTCGCTATTTGCCTTCTGCGTGAGAGTGGCCAATGCCGCCCACGCTTTGCAAATTGTTCCTGTATCTTGATTATTTTGTACAATTTTATCTCCTTAACGAAGAAAAGAGCTGCATTATCAATAGCCAAAATATGTCAAAATCTGCGAGTATTATGTACTCAACGTTTTTTCATTGGATTGATCCAAAAATCATTTTTTTTGGATAGTCTTCATGCTTTTCTTACTGAGGTTTGAGCAAGACTTTAATCGCTGCTTAAATTAGAAACAAAATTCCCTAAAAGCAGAATGTTTTTAATTGGATTCTTCTTAAATTCACATGTCCCTGGTGGTTGCGCATGCAGGGAAATAAACACTGAGCCATTAATGGTTATTAAATTTCTGAGAGGATGCTTTCAAATCTCAGTGGAGTTTGTACTTTTGAATCCATAAAGCTCTCCAGTAGGGTTCTCTCCAAACTGATCGTAGTGGAGCAGGTCAGTTAGTCTGTGCTTAGGAGATGTGGGGTTTCCTATCCATGGATCTACCTCAGCACACAAAAAGATAAACAAACCCTTTTAGAAGTGTAAGAGAAATTGTTCCCTGCAACATCCATGTTCCTTACTTGAGGTCTTTGGTTCCATTTTCTCAGCAAAACAGTGCTTGCCCATATATATGGGAAGGACCTCTTCCTGTTTGTGAGGAGTAATCTGAACTGTGAACTGTTGTGTTATGTCGCAGTTTGACACTGTTGTGTCAAAAAGATTTGTTCTGCAGGAGTCTGGGTATGAAACAAATTAGTAAGTGCTTAATTGTAGGAAGGTTTTCATCAAAACGCTCCCTCTTTCCACCCTCCATCGTTTCTCCCCATGTTTTCCTCACATTTAAGCTCCTGTTAGATTTTTAGTATATAAAATTGCTGCTTTTTTCCGTGTTTAAGTTTTTGAGTTTTAAGTTCGATGGCATTGATTTTTCTTATTGCACGTTCTCTGAATTTCTGGCAGAAGTCCTGGAGGGGATTTGGGAGCAAAGAAGAAGAAAAAGAAACAGAAGAGAAAAAAGGAGAAACCAAATTCTGGAGGCACCAAATCAGATTCTGCTTCTGATTCCCAGGAGATTAAAATTCAACAGCCTTCAAAAGTGAGAGCCTTGTTCTATTTTAATTTGCCTTGCTTTTTTGAAAGTGAGTTGGTAGTACTGCCTTATCACATGTCTGAATTGGGCACATGCAGCCAAGATGACTGTCCTGAATAGAGAGAGAAGCCCTGGTAAGTTCTGGTGTTTGCAGCCTGCGTGGAACTAGCTGGAGAGTCATTGCAACCACCAAGGTGGTTACTGTGAGAAAAGCAGAGGAGGTGGTGTTTTGTCTTTTTTTTTCTTTTTCTTTTTTTTTTTTTCCCATCAGTTAGATTCAGCCCAGTGGATGCTTTGTAGCAAAGAGCTTTAATCTGCAGTGGTAATGTTTTTCAAATATTTTTGTATGACAAATTGCCTTTAGTTTAGCCATGTTCTAATGCAGCTTAGTGTGGATTCAGTTGCTTGTACAGCATAACACTATCTCACAACAAGCTCCACCAGTAGAAGGGAAGGATGAGTACGTTTATGCTCATAGCATTTTCCACACCAGTAAAATAAAAACACCAAACCCGCAGACCAGTCTTCAGGGAAACTTATCTGCAGTGCACCTGCTTTGCTAACTGGAGGCTCATTTGGGCATGTTGCCTACCATAAAATGCAGCCATCTCTAACATGGAGGTAGAGATTTTTGTCACCTGAAAGGCCTCTGTTGTAAGTGAGAATGCAGAATTTCTTGAGAGGACATGCAGCCTTTGTGGGCTTTGTGATAGAATAGCATTGACTATGTACTTTTGGCTACCTCTTCTAAATAGTGAATAAGATGGCTTGGTGGTTTTTTAACATCAGCTTTTATTTCAAGAGCAATCTTAGCCTGAGAACTGAAGTTTCTAACATGATGGCAAGAAAGTTGATGGACCACTGAGCATTTTGAAGTGGTTATGTTTGCTTTATCAGACTAATGTGGAGAGCTTGCTCTGTTATATCAGTAGTGTGCTTAATCCTGTAAGATATGTCAACTACAATAAATTATCAGCTAATTTTAGGAAATTTTGTGCTGCTTTGTTAACAGTCTGATAGGTTTTGTGTTGTCCATATTAAATCTCTTCTCTGTCAACCCCATTGCTTTGAATGGGCAAATTTGGCTGCAAGGTTGTTTTAAAATATATAGAGAGATCTTAGGTAGTCTTTAATATCACTGTATTTTGTATTTTTTTTTCTATAAAGCATATGGCATCAGCTCCTAATGCAAGAGTTTTGTTTGCAAGCAATAACCAGGTAACCTTGAATTCATTTACAGTTGAAATAATGTCAGTTTTGATACTAACATAAAGATATGTTTCATTACTATTACATCTTGGGAGTTCTTTTACTTTTTGCTGACCAAATTTATTGTTCCATAGAATCATAGAATGGTTAAGATTGGAAGGGACCTCTAGAGGTCATCCATGTGCTGTATCTAATTGCATTGGAAAGAAGCTGCTTCACTTTTCTTTCTTTTTTTTTTTTTTGAGGGGCAGGTAGGGGGGTAGTGCTTTTACGTACAGTGTTTGAGTCTAGAGGCCTTGCAGTTTTTTACACCATCCTTCTGGCCTACACTGTGGCCCACTTGTGTTCCCACCTTCCCCATTGGAATTGAGAATCTTACTCTTGTCCTAAACAATTTACTTAGAGTGATGTTCTTGGAGCTTATTTTACTGGCATGAAAAGTTTGGCCAATTTGTCAGAATTGTTACAAAGTTTTCTGTTTAATAGGCATGCAAGCCAAGGTCATAAGTCTTTCTCTGAAGCTCTAGGCAGTTAAACTGTTGTAGTGTTTTTATGCAGTTTTTACTTTTTCTCTAGTTACAACTGTGACATTGTTGGTTTGCTTCACTCCCTGCTGAGCTCTCAGGTATACACCCTGACAAGTAGATGAGTTTTTCTGCTGTAGAAAGCTATTCGGACTTAGATTTTGCAAAACTGTCTTAGGAAGTTGAGCTGGGTCAGCATGGAGAAGTGTATTTTCTCTGCAGCTAGGGGGATATTTTAATTACATATTTCTTGTGATACTTGAAATGCATTAAAGAAAACTGACATTTATTGTTTGCTTGCTCTTGGGAGGAAGGAATTTTACAGTGTTTCAGTGAAAAGGATCATAATATACATTGCATCTCAGATAACATATGCAGGATTGTCAGGTAGTATTTAGTGAAGCTTCTGAACTCAAAAAGATGGTTTTGAAAAATGAGTGTTTTGGTAGATTGAGGATATAAACAAGTATAACAGGAGATTAGAAAAACAGAGCAGTGAGTCTCCTTGGCATCCCCCGTTACCATTTGTGGTACTGGACTTTTTGAACACTAGTGTGAGTGTAACAGTAAGTACAGTAATAAGTGCTTGCTAAGGATCTGCATCATGTGCTTCAGGTGACCCTTAGAACATTTCACTGCGTGTCTCATAGGACTTTGTTGTAGAAACTGGATTCCTCCTTCCAGTCCGATGAAGTTCTGTATGTTTATGTTGAATGTTGACAATATTATATTAAAAAAAATTAAAAAGTGACACAGCAAAAAACTGCATTTGAAATATACCTGTGTGTCATGAGGCAGAAGTGAATATTGCTTTCAGTGTCTAAACATCACTTGGGTGCCTGCCCAGAAGGGATGTGTTACCCCATCCCTCCTCAGTGTTGCACAGGCAGGAGAGTTTGACTGCGGTTGCCTCATGCTCTGCCCTGTGTCGATGCCAGCAGCGTGCAGTCCCTGGGCTGTGGCCCCCCACCTCCCGACTTCTGATGTACCTTTGTAGCACCCGTGGTTTCACTGGCCTAAGCCAAACTGCTCTGTGGCTGCAGTAAATGCATTCGGCAGTTGTATACTGAGCAGGAGCATGTGTGTAATCCTTGAGTGCACCAGGTGGTCCAGCTGCGGCAGTGTTGGAGGATAGGATTCCAGTTTTGAATTCTTCCTTTGTTGAGGCAGAAAGCAGGAGCTTCTGGCTCTGTGCAAGTCCATGTGCATATGTGACAGGAGCCTCACAGAAGACAGTGTTCGTAGTATGAGATCCTTGGTCTGCACAGGATCAGATTCAGACTTGGGAGCCTTTACTAGTTCATGTAATTCCAATTCCCATCTCTCCTGATGAAATGTTAGGACAGATTTGCAACCCCTCTCTGGTCTGCTAGCTGCTAATTCGTCTCTAACATGCTTTTTATTGGGCTTTTTAATTCAGCCTTAGCATGCTATGGAGAAGTAGCTTCTTAGCTTGACTAATAAAGCTCAGCAAACACTGTGAACTTTGAGGACTGTATTTACAGAACTTGTAAATGCTCTTGTCTCTCGTTTTTAAGCAGAACTCGCCTTGTAAATATTTATGTGATAGAGAAGTTATCTGGTAACCATTTAAATTTCTGCTGGGGAAAGAACAGTTTTACATGAATCACAATCTTCAAAACCTCTCCTTTGCCATCAAAAAAGAGAGATACATCTGGGAATTGTTGCGGAGCAAATACTTGAGTTCTCTGCTTACGTGATATGGGCATCTGTATCACAATCCTTAGAGATCATCTTACTTGCTGAGATCCTCTCTTGTGCCTTTCAGTATGAAATATAGCTGGAATATAGTCTGGGATTCTTTTTGGCATCTTTTCTGCTCTCATGGGTGCAAGTGAAAAACAAGCACTTGGAGGAAATATCGGAGAGCAGAGATATGAAATGAAGGGGGGAAGTGTTTTTATTGTTAGTCAGTAGAGCCCCAAATAAAATATTTTGTAAGCAAAACCTAAGGACTAGGGGACGCCAGATACTAATACACATAGGTGCACAATGTATACATTGCATATTAGTGATTTTCCACACTATGATTATTTTTTCTTCTGCCTTTTGAGGAAGAAATACCTGTACCTTGCAGGGAGACCCCATTCACATCCTAGTCTGTTTGGGCTGTGTCTGTTTTGACCTTTCGAGTCTCCCTGTATGAAGGCTAAGAAAATTGGACAGGTGTCTTGTCTTCCACTCAAAAATACAGGCACACTCTGTGACAGCCAGTTCTGTAAGGGTACAGCTCACCCTTCTGTGACTGTGCTTTTTTTGTCCTCTACCAATTATATATCCCAAGGATGTAGATTTTTCACATCGGGACAAAATAAACTTGTAAGATCTGTGATATTATGAATCATTGTAGTCACCAATGACCTGCACAAGTATAGAGTTGCAAAATAAATTCTTTTGGAAGCGGCTTCTGGAAGTCTGTAGGCCACCCTTCTGCTCAGAGCAGGTCCAGCTACATCGCATTGCTCAGGTCTAGGTCAAGTTGTTCGTTCAAATTTTAGGTATGTCCAAGGATGGAGGTTGCGCAGCATGTCTGAGCAGTCTGTTCTGGTATTTGATCACCTGCCTTGGTGGTGAATTTTTTTCCCTGATATCTAAGTGGGATTTCCTGTTTTGCAAATTGTGTCCATTCTTTCTTTTCCTATAGTTGTGCCTCTTTGAAAAGAATGTGTCTCCATCCTCTCTGCATCTTCCCGTTAGGTAGTTTTTGACAGCAGTAAGATTTCCCCCATTCTTACCTGTCTTTTCTTAAGATAAAGCCTGATGCCTCAGTTTCTCCCTGTACATTATGTGCTTCTGCCCCCCAGTCATCTTGGTGCTCACCACCGGAGTTGCTCCACTATGTCAATGTCTTTCGTGTTCTGAGGAGCCCAGAGCTGCAGGAGGTGATCTCCACGGTGCCAGACAGAGAGGCAGATCTGCTGGCTGCAGTCTTGCTGCTATAGGCAACTATACCTTTGGCCTTCTTTGTTTCAAGTGTGTGCTGCTGGCTCATGTTCATGTTCAAATCACTGCCCACCAGAATCTCAGTCCTTTTCTCCAAAGCTGATTCCTAGCTAGGCAGTATGGGCCTGAGCTGTTCATGGAAGTTTTCTGCCCTAGGTGCAGAACTTTGCATTTGTCCTTGTTGAACTTGATGAGGTTTTCTGCAGCCTTTCAAGATCCCTTTGAGTAGCAGCTCTGCAGTTCAGTGAACCAGCCACTCTTCCCAAGTGAGTATCATCTGTGAAGTTGCCAAGGAAAAAGCACTCTATCATATTGACTCCTGAGGGATTCTGCCATTCGCAGACCATCAGGTGTACCTTGTACCACTGCTGACTGCTCCCTTGAGCCTGATGCTCCAGCTGAATTTTTATCAGCCATATCATTTGTTTATGGCCAAATTGATGAGATATGAACTGGAAAAGGATATTACAGGAGACTCTGAGAAGGGCCTTGCTGAAGTCAGTGTAAGTAACATCCACTCTTCTCCCCTTGTCTCAACAGAACTAGTCAACTAGAAGACAGTGATGTTGGTCGGATACATTTTCCCATGATAAACCCATACTGGCTGTTCCCAGGGCTGGAAATGGCTTCCAGGAGGCTTTCTTCATAAGCATCCCAAGGATGTCCAGCTAGTCTGTGATTCCTGAGATCTTCCTCCTTGTCTTCTTGAAGATACATGTGATATTTCCCTTTTTACAGTCATAGGGAACCTCTACCAATTCCTGCAACCTTTCAAATTTAATAGTGAGTGACCTCGCAAGGACATCAGACAGCTCCCTCAGCACCCAGGCGTTTTGTCTAGTCTCAGGGACTTGTGCAAGGTTAATTGCTGAGTTGGCCTCTCATAAACTTCTCATTTCTGCTTGGGTAGCAGTAGTTTCTCAGACCCTGCTAGAGGGCTCAGAGACACAGGAGATCCCTGCTCAGGTCCTGCTAGCAAAGACTGGAGCCAAAAGAGCATCCAGTACCTTAGCCTTGTTGCTCTTCTTTCTAACTCATGTGAAGTTCTATGTAGGCATTTCCCTCACAGGTAGGAAGGAGACTAAAAGGGTTTCAAAGTAAATCTCTTAAAAGAACAGCAAAGCTAATCTCCCAACTTTCTGAAAAAAGAGGAAAAGCCTGCTGATGTCGTTAGCTAAGTCATGTTTAGTATCAAAGGATGAACTTTTTATTTCACAAATACTAGTTAAGATAGGAGAGATTTTTATTTTTATTAAAATAGAAGCAATATCAGAGACCTTTTTTAAAGTACAAACTACAAAACCCAATATATCAGTATCTTTATATGGTTTCTTGAACCATTCATAAGAATTCAGAATTTATCTTGTGGCAGTAGAAGTGTTTATACCAGGCTAGTAGGTACTAGATGACTGTTGTTGAGAAAAGTAACCTGTATCTGTGACTGGAATCCAGAAATAAGGTAAGGATTTTCTTTTATCCCACAACAGTGTTGACCCGATTTGTTGCACTGCTTACTGAAAGTGTGCAAATATGTTAATTCACAACAGCTCAGATGACAGGTGATTAAGGCATAGTTAAAAGTGAAAACTTGCAATACTGATATTACATAAAGTTTAGAGAGTACAAGTATTTATCCTAAATAGGAAGTGATGGCCAGGTTAAACTGCATGGGGTGTTATTTGATTTGTGACTAAGGAGACTGAAAGTGATTGCCTGTCCAAATGAAATTTTATATCATTTTACGCATAGTTTATGATGTGGTTTTTTTCACATACGACTCTCTGAAAGAGAATGAAATACTGAAACAGCGATCCATTGATATGCAACAAAAAAGCAGTTGACTTGAATTCTCTATCCAGGAATACTTCAATTTTCCAATCCATTTGAGAGTATTCCATCAAATGGATTTATTGTATTTAAAAATCTGAGAAAATCTGAACACATATTGCTGCCACTAGTATGCTTCAGAACAGGACTTACGTTGGAGAGGAAGGAAAAAAAAGAAACGCAGAAAAATCCTTTTAGGTTTAGAAGTCTGTTCCTAATCCTTCGTAATTTCATAAGCAGGTAAAGTTCTCATTCCAGTTGCACCTAGTCAGAATGCTCAAAAGTGTTGATTTAAGAGTGCTGAGCCATCTTCACTTCTGTGTGAAGATTTTTCTAATTTCAAGTGGGAGGTTGGTTTATTTCACATCTGCTTCCATCAGTTAGTTATCTTTACTTGTGAGCGTTGGTACGCTGGCAGCAGGGGTGAGGTGGCGCAGTGATCCAAGGCAATTCATATAATACTTGAAAGCTCAATAGAAACCCCCTACAGTATAACTGAGGCTAAGAAGTGGATGTTTGTAGCAATACAGTGTTGAAATACTGAACCATGATGAATTTAAATTATATTTATAGTGTACGTGCAAAGTACAACTTCACATGTCTCTGAGTGCATACACAATAGTATATTTAGATTGTAAGGTATCTAAGCTGATCTTTTTGCTGCTTTTTGGTTAATAAGCTTTGCATTATGATACTGCCTTAATACTACGATATTTGTATTGCAAACACCAAAGATCCATGGTTAAATGCAAATGCTTCCCCAAACTATTACATCTTCTCTGAAAGTGGCTGGCTGTTGCCCACCTGCCTTCTACCTTCGTGCTCCAAAAAGATTATGCCTAATTACCTGTGAAGAGGAAGGTGTATGGAATAATATGTCACAGTGTAGTAAAGAAACACACTTGTACTGCTTGTTCGAGGTAAACATAGCAAGTAAGTCTCTTCTTCTCTTTGTCTCTGTGTGCAGAATCCAGCCATTCCAATGCAGAAGCTTCAGGACATCCAGAGAGCCATGGAGCTGCTCTCTGCTTGCCAAGGCCCAGCAAAGAACATTGATGAGGCTACCAAACGTAAATACCAGTTTTGGGATACACAGCCCGTACCTAAACTCAGTAAGTTTAACTGGGCCTAGGCATAAGGTCTGTCTTAGTGACTGCTAAAAAATGCATTTCAGATGTGTGGCACATTCTAAAAAATGGATATAAAGTTGGACTGGATTTAGTAGAGTTCCTAAAGTTCCATAATCTTTTATGTTATTTATATGGGATTCATTAGGGAAGGGCTTGCTCCCCAGAATGGTGTGTAACAAAACACAGTGTTAATGAATCTCACTCTGATGTTCTGTTCTGAAATAGGTTATTGATAGCATTTTGCTCTATATTTTAGCTCTTGAAAAATAGGACCTAGAGTTCTTTTCCACTTCATGGAAAATAAGAATTCTATTAAACACTCACAAGAGGCAACTCTCCACTCCTGTCTCCTTTCCCCCCATAGATGGATCTGCTGTTACAGAAATAATGACTCTCCTGATGTAGGTTGCACTGTTTTTCGTGCAGTATTAAGTGAATAATAGCACTTCTTAGAAATGAACACCTTTATTGCTCTTTGTTCACTTGCTTTTTCCACAATATACAGTACCTGAAGATATAGTTTCTCTGAGTCCCTTCCCTGGTTTTGGTACCAGCTGAGATTGGCAGTGGGACCTCTCCTTGCCTTTAATTTTGTAAGAAACTTGACAGATGCCTTTTATGCTGATCTGATCTAGCTGTGCACACAGTTGGTGGTTTCTCAGTCAGTCTCTGCTGGAGAAGACAGCTGCGGACTCTCTTGCACTTCTAGCTTTGTCCTCTCCGTCTTTTTCTTCCCCTTCATGCCTGCAAGTTCATTGTTCTAGTTCTTCCATGCCAAGAAATGTGAGGACCCTGCAAATAGAGTGGTCTCAGTACAGAGACTGACATTCTGTTCTGAAGGTTTGTCTCCATGACAGATATTGATATAGATTAAGCAGAAATAAAGTAGAGACTAAATGATGGGAGCATTTTCTCTGTCTTCAGCATTCCACATTAGTCCATTTCTGTAGCTTAATACATAGGGGAAATTCCGTTTCCCCTGACTTCCTTGCATGGAGAAGCCCAGAGCAGAGTCCCTGATGTGATCCTTTTTCATGGATCGAACTGAGCAGACCAGGGTCTTTTCCATACGAAAGCCCTCCAGACAGCTTTGTGAGCTAATGGCAATAATTGTGCCTAGGAGGAGGAGGAGCTTAGACAAAAACATTGATGTGCAGATCAAAAAGTGCTCTGGCCATAAGGAAGCTTTTTTTCAGAACTAGTTCAGAGGTAGATGTCTGCACTGCAGTTCCAGCAACTGAATTCAGGGTGGTCAATACATCCTAAAGCAGCTCTACAGAGATGAGTCTGTCACTAGCCAGCCTGAAAGGGCCAAGAGATCAGTTCTAAAAATTATTGGTTAGGGCTCTTCAGTGGAAATAGGCTTTGTTGAATTTGGGTGATGGAGTTTCTGTTCAGTATTTCTGAGTCGCTTCTTGATCCTGTTTTTGAATTTATTTAATCTTTATTTATTTAATTTGAATAATGAATTTATTTAATATTCCTGACCTGCTGAATGAACATACCGGAGAGTCTTCACTTTTTGATATACTGTGTATGTTCAGGTAGAGGAAAAAAGAAAAGAATCTGTTAATTCTAGAAATAGCTGTAGGGATCAGCATTAAACTTGCTTCACTACCCATCTGCCTTCTAATTAAAGGCTGTTAGCAGTAAATCCTTTAATTTATAATATTAGGCCAAGCCCTGCCATATAGTGGCAGTAGCTTTTAGGTTGTTGGTACCTCCAGAGTTTGTGTAGAGATGCTGGTAATGGTAGCCTGCCCTCCAGTCTGGATGGTCATGCTTATTTGTCGGCATCAGCTGTTGTTTGGCTGAAGTTTGTACTACTGATTAAAAGTTAGTACTACTGAGGTTTGGCAGCTGCCAAATATTCCCACATAAGAAGGGTTTCTCTTTATTTGGTTGCTATGTACCGAGGGACTTGGGTTGTAAAGTTGGAAGGAGAAGAAAGCATATTTCCTTGTCAAATTTTCAAAACAAATTTCATATTTCACCTGCAGCTTTTAAATGCCCTGGTTTTGTCATGCTACTGCTCCCAAGTAATCCTGTTGAGTTGAGGTCTCTTCAAATCCATTGGAAGTTGGATCTGGTCCATAGCTTGTGCTCTATGAGTATATCATTTTCCTCCTGATGAGACCACAGGCTTGGTGGCTGGCTAAGTGCTGTGCATGTGATGATATTTTGTGCTCTATGTTCTGAACTACCATTTATCAGCTGGGGTAGAGTAGTTCTGTGTCTGGACTACAGATACTCTAAGCTAATGCTTACTTTGAATGTGAGCAGTATGAATGAGTAGTACTATAAAGTAGCATTACTGATTTTTAAAAGCTTCATCTTCTTATTTCATAATTATTAGAAAATGCATGATGCAAGTTAAAGCTTTAAAAATGGTTTGAGAACTGTCAAGAAAGCTGGTTTTGTAACTTCATTTTCTTATTTTTTTCCACCACTTCTTTCTCCTCCTCCTCACTTGAAAGATGAAGTTATTACTTCACATGGTGCAATTGAACCAGATAAGGACAACGTCCGCCTAGAGCCATATTCTTTGCCCCAGGGTTTTATGTGGGACACATTAGATCTTAGCAATGCTGAAGTTGTAAGTAAAACAATTTTTATGTGTGCCTCAGATCATTTGAAGTATATTCTGATTGACGTGTGTGGATAAATCTTTGGGTTTTTTCATGTGTGTTTTCAGCTGAAGGAATTATACACACTGTTAAATGAGAATTACGTAGAAGATGATGATAATATGTTTAGGTTTGATTATTCACCTGAATTTCTTCTGTGGTGAGTAGCAAGTTCCACATTCTGCTCTGGCTGGAGTGAAAAGAAGGGTTTTTTATTACATCTTCTTAGGCAGTAATCTGTAATGATTTCTGTCATCAATTCTAGGGCACTACGTCCTCCAGGTTGGTTACCCCAGTGGCATTGCGGGGTTAGAGTGTCTTCAAACAAAAAGCTAGTAGGATTTATAAGTGCCATCCCTGCAAACATTCGTATATATGACAGGTAAAGTGCCCCATTGCTTTTGTATTTGTACGAGAAAAACTGCATGAAGTAAATCTTAAACTGGTACCCATTGCCACGAGGAATTTACAAATTAAAATAGGCTCCCTCACTGTGAAGCATTTGGAGGAACCTCTGTAAATAGCAGAGAGGTTTCCCCACATACCCTGTGCATGACCTCTTTACTGTGAAGAGCAAGTAACACTGCATTTTCTGATCCAGCTGAAAAGTATTTGAAGGTTAGTTTGTGGACTGGTCTTTCTCAGCCAGGGCTTCATACACAGTTTTAAAGTGACCAGAAATAGTGAAGTATTACGATACCTCTTAGCATGTGCTTGGTTACCTTCCTGGATCTTAAAGAGAGCAGATAAAGTCTTGGGAGAGTTCTGAAAAAGGAGCAGTACAAAAGCTTTAGACCCAGCTTGCCTATTGCACTCTTTTCCTATTTTGGTCTCAGTATCATAGAGTATTAGTTTTTTGGTGCAGATGTACCTCGCCACAAATTTATTTTTACCTAGGATTGTTCATCACACCTTGGGAAAACTAAAGCAATGAGAGGGAAAATATGCAATGTGCACTGTTTTTTTGGGGATCTTTTTTTTTGTGTTTTTTTTTTTAAACTCTTTCACTGTTTCACTGTTCTTCACTTCCTTTCAGCGTGAAGAAAATGGTAGAAATCAATTTTCTGTGTGTCCATAAGAAATTGAGATCTAAACGGGTAGCACCTGTATTGATTCGGGAAATAACCAGAAGAGTGAACCTGGAAGGAATCTTTCAGGCTGTCTACACTGCTGGAGTGGTGCTCCCCAAGCCTGTGGCCACCTGCAGGTAACCTACATGATGGTCATATTAATACTGGCTCTGACAGCAGGCGTATTAAAGAGCCCTCTGTGTCATTGGTCATAAACAGGAAGAGCAAAAAACTCAAACTGAATGTTCTGGAGCTGACTCTAACCCAGAAGTCTGTGTGTGCGTGTCATGTCCATTTCGTTTTTATTTTTGTTAATACCAAAAAGGGACAAAACATCTTTTCAGACATGAGTCTAGTTTTTGGTGTATTTATGGTACTCAAATGGATTAATAGATGCCTCTGTTGAGCTTCTAATAGAGGCTGTGGTAGCAAGGACAGCATTGCACACCTGTATTTTTCAAGCAAGCAGTTTTCCTACTGGGACACTTCCTGTTGACCTAATTGCCAAAAATGGCAGAGCATTTCTGGGAGTTGGACTGTTGGCTTTCTAGAAACACCTTCATTTTTCCTGGAGAAAAGAGGACTTGATTTGATCTGAAATTGTTTTTTTTGTGTGTGTGTGGTTCGTTTGTTTGTTTTTCTTGTTTTTTTATATACCCATCAACATCAGAGATCCTGTAAGCTTCTTCCCTTCTGTAGAGAAGAAGGTACAAAAAAAATATCCTGTCTTAGAGTAAACAGGGGTGTTCTGTTGCACAGTGATTTCCTAGGAGAGGGACCCTACAACAAACTTCTTAGAGATAAGCATAGAGTCCTGTGCAACACAAATAGTATTACCTTGTAAGATGTCAGTAGGATGAGATTGTCAGGGCTATGGCAAGCATTAGAATGCCTAGGCCTGAGATTACTCCTTTCAGTAATTAAAGCATTTGTTTAGAACCAAGATGCTGTAATTGCAAGCGTGTTTAAAAGGTGCTACTTGGGTGTTTGCTCCTACTTTTATTACTCAAGCCTCTTGTAGACATGAATGCAGGCTGGGTTAGAAATCAGTTTTAGGGGACGGGGAATAGCAGTGTGAGAAAGCAGGGAAATGGATGCATATAGAACTGAAACTTAGAGTACTTCTTAATCTCATTACTTATTTCCAGGTATTGGCATCGATCACTGAACCCCAGAAAACTGGTGGAAGTGAAATTTTCACATTTGAGTAGAAATATGACTCTGCAAAGAACAATGAAGCTCTACAGACTTCCTGATGTAAGCAGCGTGTCTCCCAGAGAATCCCCACAGTTACTGAGGCCCAAAATAACTGCCCATCTGTCTCTGACAGGACAAGCTCTTCTGTGGAAAGGCAGTGCTTGCAGGACATAGAAAAATATTTCTGGATGGAAAAAAAAGACCATAGGGCTATACTAAACAGAGAAGACTCTTGCTGGAGTATAGATTTGTATCTCGAAAAAATACAAAATGTTAACCCCAAAACCTTTAAAAAGAAAGAAAGAAAAAGAGAGAGTGAAAAAAAAGTTAAACATTGACTCTATAAATATTTTGAATAGAGTACCTCCAAAAACAAACTCTTTGCTCCTAAAAGCTGCTTTCCTGTTTGGAAGGATTGCAGCCTCTCTTTTTCCTTAGCCTTATTCGTAAAGCTCTCATGTAAACAAGCCCTCCTTTTACTCTAGAGAAAAATGTATGTTCTCTCTTCCCCCTTTCCCTGCTGTTGGCTGTACTGAGCCTCTATACTGAGCTGCTTTGGGCTCTGGTTACTGCGAGCAACGCGCCGGGCTCGGGCTGCGCTGCCTGCTGCCCCGCGAGGTGGGCTGCAGCTTGCCGAGCTCAGGAATTAACAGTGACATTAATGAGTTTTTAATTTTGGAGAGCTAAATATAGCTTTCGTCAAATCTGAAGCCATTTCTGTTAGTCTGAAAAGGCCCGTAGACAATTCCAAGTAGAGGTTCTGGTGGCAAATGTAGCACTGTTTCTCATGGAAACAATACAGGAAAGGAATAATTCCCCTTGTGTATCTTATTCTGATCATAGTTTGAAGTGGATGACAACAGGAAATCATTAGAAACCACAACAGTTGTATCCTGATCATCTTCCTAAGTCATAAAACTTGGATTTCAACCAAAAAGAAATTATGGAACATAAATAATACATCATATACAATAAAGAAAAATTAGCTAGAGAAAACATACTCTACACACATAGAAGATAGTTTTAAAGTTGAATTTTCAAAAGCATCCAGGTGACTTGAGGTTCTGTATGCATCAGTTGTTTGTTTGTTTGTTTTTTAGATCGTGATTTGAGACTTACCTCCCATGGAAAATAGACAGTTTCGTCTTTGTGCTAAAAATACTTTTTTTGGCCTAAAAGTGTCCTAAAACAAAAGCTTTTCTTTCCAAACCACCACCTTAGTGTCCCTCAGCACCTAAACACTGCTTCCTGCACTCTAACCTCCTTAAAGTCCTTGGAATATCTTTGCCACTGGGAGCTCATCTCCCTTCTAGAACTAATCATTCTTTATCACATACACTGTTCGAACTACAAAGGTTTTCAGAAATAGTAAAGAAAATACTGTCATTAAGTAATAAAATATCACCCTCACTGAGATTTCATGGAAGGCTCTGTTTGTGTACATGTATACAGATTTTTTTTTTTTTTTTTGAAAAGGAATACAATACATTGGGCTGTGTTTAGAATAGGGACAAGGGACTTAGTGCAGTTTGATGTGGGGAGTGGGGAAACAACTTTTCTATCAGATCATTCCACTTTTCCTGACTTCTGGGACTGCCTGTGGCCATTCTGAGGGTTGTTGGGGGATGAAGATGTATCAGCTGAGCTGCCTTTTCTCCTGCTGTGCTCCAGTGTATGGCTGGAGAAGCAGGGAGGTTTGGAGGAAGCAAAAACTGACCTTTCATAGTGTAGTTGAAAGGAGGTTAGGAACTGAACACCGTATAGGAAGTGTCATGCCGACATATCAGATGAGAGCCCTTATGGGTTCAAGGCACTTCAAAGCCTCTCCGCTGTTGGGAACAGCTGCAGGCTCCATAGTGGCTGCTGCAGGGACAGGACACAGTAGAGGACTCTGCAAAAAAAGCTTTTTTTTTTTTTTTCCTTTTTTTTTCCCGTTTGGAGACCTACTCCCAGTGCTTGTGAATAAATTCCATCGCCACCCCCCAGAGAATTCCTCTTGAGCAGGACATAACCAGCTATCATAATTTTGGATTTCCAGCAATCCATTCACTACGTGGATACTCGCTGGAATTGACTTTGCCGTGATGAACGTGTTGCTTGCCCAAGCATGTGGCATAGACAAACAAAACAGGACCCGTGAGCTCTGAAAGAGCACAAGGCTTTGCCCTCTCCAAAAGGAAATATTTAGGAAAGGTATCGGAAATGGGAGGAAAATCTTGAATAATGTTTTACTTGTTTAAGCATTTTACTTGTGTAGCATTTTAAGCTTTTAAAAAAAGAAAAAAAGGAAGGAATACAAAATGTGT